AATGGGCCACTTCTTTTGCAGCAGCCGCTGTTGTTGCTTTAGAAAGTGGCAGCTCTCGCCCCAGCCGACACGCGATCATCTATTTATTTAAGCGCCATTGATTGTGAAGTCTGGTGAGTGTGCGATAAGACCGAATTATTATTATTATTTATGCCAAGCCATTAGTATTTATTGTGTCACTGTTAAGCTGCGCTATTTAATATTGCCTGGATTGGAGCGGTGCTGATTTGTTGAACGCAGTTGCTGTTCCTGGGCTGTAATTTCGCTGGTGTGGACGGCTGGGGAAGTGGCAGAAACGCCAGCCAATAAAGTTTGATTTCCCTTTGGAAAGTGTCCAGGGCTCAGCCTTGTTTGTTACGCTACCAGGCAGCAGCGACTCTGTGGCCATGTCCCAGGGTGATGCTAATCAGCTCCCAAGCGCGGAACAGCCCTGGGGTGAGATGCTGCCTCCCTGTGCGATTACTGCTGGGAAAATACCCCTGGCATAGGAGCGCCGTGTGGGGCTGGCCCATGCACCCCTGCGCTGCCCCCATCCGAGCATGGGAAGTGCCAGCGGGGACGTGGCCACCGCAGGGAGGCGGGGCAGAGTTCGACACTCAGCTGTGCTGCCCAAGAGGGCGCCAGTGAGGTTTGGGGTGAGTTGGAGAACTGCTGTTGTCCTTTGAGGGGGAGGCGGGTCTAGCATCTCTACCCAGGTTGTGAGCTCAGCCGCTGGACGGTGCTTCTGGCTGCAACAGCCTGTGCTGGTGAGTGGGGAGAGGCGGCGTATGAAAAGGCGAGAGCCGGCTCAGGTCTAACAAAAGGGCCTCAGAGGCCATCCCAGGGCCGGGCCTGATGAACAAGGCGTGCTGGAAAGCCGACCTAATTCGGGAATGAACTAATGAGAGGATGGGCTATTCCACCCAGGGCGAGATGGAGGGTGTCTGTGTGTGTGGGGGCACAAAACAGTGAGCCCCACTCCTGGGCTAGTCCCTCAGGAAAGGGCAGCAGGCCTCTGGGTCAGTCTGTCCTTCATCGGTGCATTGAGCCCACAGCCCAGCGCTGACCCCACCTGATACACGTGAGTGCCTGCTCCGGCTTCCCCGCCCTCGTTTGCTCCTGTCCAAGCCCACTAGCGCCCTCCTGGCCTACCGTGCTCCCGCCACTTTTCGCCTGCCCCGGAGCCCAGTGGCATCATATGGCACCAGCATGACATGGCCCAGCCAGAGGGTGGGGGCTACACTAGAGCCTTTGGGCACCGACAGCCCGCTTACGGCACCCTCGTTATGGCCGCGTCCACTACGATGCTGCGTCCGCCGAAGTAAGTGGCCCGTTACACCGACATCATGACGCTACCGCGTCGCTCTCACGGTGTGGTCAGGACGACGCAGCAGCTGTGCAGCCCCTGCGTGACTTACATCGGCTGTCAGGCCCAAGGGGGCTGACCTCCCAGTCCCAAGCCCTGGCACTGCCAGCCCAAGCTGTCAGCGGGGCGCGGGGGTCACAGCTGTGAGCACGCCCCAGCCCCTGCTACTGTCTCCTAGTAAGGGATGGAAATAGTACACTCCCTGCTGTGAAACGGAGGCCTGGGCTGTCAGTACCGGGGGGGGGGGCTCCCAGCTGTGAGCCCACACCCAGCTGTGAGCCCACACCCAGCTGAGAGGCTCAGGCTGTTGGGGTGGCCAGGCCCAGGTGTGAGCTGGTGCCCACCTGACAGCTTTGGGGGGTGGGGTGGGGTGGACCAGCTGTGACCTACAGCTGAGGCTGTCAGCCCCTGAGCTGCCGGGCTCCAGCTGTCAGCCCCCTCGTCTCAGCACTGTCCCATGTCAGTCGGCGGCAGCGTTCC